TTTATAAAATCATATTATATTATTTTAATTTCAATATATAATTTATTTAATTAAAATTAAAATAATTTAATTCAATAAATATAATTTTTTTAAATAATTTAAAATAATTAATATCTTTTGTTTAAAAATAATATATTTAATATTATTTTTTAGATATATATATAAATTAAAAATATCAAATTTATTTATAAAATTATATTTTATTATAGATAAATAAGTAAATCAATATATATTTTTACATATAATATAATAATTATTTATATATATAATACATTTTTTTAGAAAATAAATTATTATTTTAAAAATAAAATTTATTTTAATATCTGCAATACAATAATATTTAATAATTATTTATATATTATATTTTTTATATTAATATATAAAATTATAATTTTTTAAAAGATTTTTTTATTTATTAAAAAAATTTTTTTATTCAAATTATTTAAAAAGTTTATATTATATTTAAATATAAATTAATTTTAAAATAATAAATTAAATTAAAATTTATTAAAATCTTTTATAAAAATAAACTTTTTACATTTATTTTAATTTTAAAAATTTTTTAATTATAAAAACTTAAAATTTAATATTTAGATATTTTTTTATAAAATATATTTTTGTAAATATATATATGACTAATTAAAATTATTATAATTTATTAAATATTTTTTTTTATAAAAATTAATTCATTTATATAATATTAATACTTTTTTTTATTTTTAAAGATTATTTATTTTATTTTCATTATTTTAATACAATATATAAAAACGACATTGATTTTTTTTTTTAATTTGGTCAATATTTCTTAAATAATATATTTAATTTTTTTTTTTTTTTTTAAAGAAATAAGAAATATACAATTATTAATATAAAAATATATATAATTAATTAATTAATTTAACTTAAATTAAATATTATTAATAATATAATATTTATATTTATTTTATTTTTATTTTTATTTTTATTTTTATTTCTTATTTTTATTTTTATTAATTTTTTTTTTTTTTTTTGTCATAATTTTTTTAATATTATTTTATATATTTATGTAAAGATATTAATATTTAATTTAATAATTAATAATAATTATAAAGAGAAACTAAAAATATATAAAATTATTTAATTTTAATTTTTTTATTTATATAATATTATATATAAAGATATTTTAATAATTTTTATATATACTTATTAAAGTATTTCTAAATTATTTAGAAAAAAAAAAAAATTAAAAATATAATTAATTATGTAAAATTTTAAATATTTGAAATGAAATTATTTTTTATTTAATGAAATAATTGTACCAGATTAATATTTTATTTTTAATGCTTATTCACATTTTATTTTATAATTTTAATGAATTTTATATATGCTATTTAATTGAATCCAAAGGATTTTATAAGAATGGTTTAAATTTTAATATTTATTAAACTTATTAGATATCTTTTATACTTTTTGTTATTTTTTATTAAAATAAATAAAATAACAATTTAAATACCTTTCTTTTTGTTTATTTTTATTCGAAACTCCGTTAAACTATTTATTCTATTTTAATTAAACTTTAGGTTATTAATTAGAAATATTTTCCAAATTTAATTTTATTGAATCCATATCAATGTTTCCTTTATTTATTTATTAAAAAAAATATATTATAAAAAAAAATGAAAATATACCATTATGATTTTAATCTATTTTAGATAAATATTCATTAAATAGCTAATTTAAATAAATAAAATATATAAAAAAATATTTATATTTATATATATAAATATATATAAATAAATATTTAAATATATATTTTTTCATTTTTTTTTATATTTTTATTTATATATAAATATATATATTATATTATATTATATTATATTTTGTACATTTTTTTTTATTATCTTTTTCTTTGCTTCTGCTCTTTTTCTTTATCCTCTTGATAATCGAATTTATTTATTATCTTTTGTTAGTTTTGACTTAATTTTATCTTTTCCTACTAATTTAGATAATTAATCGTTTGTTTATATTTTATCTTAAAATTTTTAAAATAATAAAGCTTTATTATTTTATAAATGAATTTTTTTTTAATTTTCAGATTCTTTTTTTTGTTTAATTGAAGACTTTTTTTTCTTTTCTTTTTGAATATTTTTAGAAATCTTTATTTTTTCGACTTTTTTAATATTTTTTTAATTTATTTATTCTATTTCAAAAGAATTTTGTTGCTAATATTCAACTTTTTCATTATCACTTTCAATTTCAAATTTACCCATTTTTAATCAAATATATATAATATTTATTTTTATATATAAAAAATATATATATATTTTTATATTTTTTATATTTAGTTATTTTTTTCTTCTTTTTTATAATTTTATTTAATTATATATTTATATATATATTATTAATGATTAATTATTTAGTTTTATTTATTTTATGTCATTTAATTTGTAGAAATACTGATAAATTAATTTTTTTATTATCATTAAATTATTAAAGAATTAAATAAACAAAAAAACTGTAAAAAATTACCAATACTACATTCAAATGCCTAAAAGAAGTAAAACATATATTAAAAAGTTATACTTTTGATTATTAATATATAAAAAAGCGCCTGGAGGAGGATTTGGATATATTTTCGGACAATAAAGATTTAATTATGGCTAATTTGAAAAATAAGAATAAAATTAATAAATTGAGTAATAAAACTAATCTTAATTTTTTTTTTTTCTGAATTAAAAAATACGTTTTCTTTAGGACTATAAATTATTGTTGAATTTGTGGCTACAAATCATACATATTTATAAGAATAATAAAATATTAAAAATTAATAAAATAGTTAAACACATAATTAAAAAGATGATATTTAATTTGCAAAAGTATTAATAATATATGAAACAAATATATATATATATATATATATATATATATATATATATATATATATAAATTATTAATTTTTTTGTTATTTATATTTAATTTATTTTTATAGTGATGCGGATGTCTATGGTACATTTTATAAGATGAAACTTAGCTTATTTACTATATAATCAAATTAACTATTATATATAATATAAAATTAATATACTTAAAATCTATATACTTAGCAAAATCAAAATAAATCATATATTTAATTATTAAAATTTAATTACAAGTTTTTAATTATATTATTTTTATTATAAATTAAAATTTATGATAAATATTTATCTAATAAATTTTTTAATAACAAATTAAAGAAATATTTATAATATATATTACATATTTTTTATTTCTTTATTATTAAATTTAGAATTTTTAAAATTCCAATATTTGATAAACTATTCTAAATATAAAAAATATCTGATTACTCATTAAATATTATTGAAATATAACAAATATAAAAAAAAATGAATTTATGAATAATAAAGAAATTACATTTTTATAAAATTCAATAATAAAATGAAAAAAATATATAAAGATAAATTGAAAACATTTAATAATAATAATATTAAAAAATATAACAAATATAATAATTTTAATAAGATAATATAATATAATTTTTTAATAAGAAAAAAAAAAGCAAATAAAAATGAAACACTTTTAATAAAAGAAAGAAGAAAAAAAAAATCATTCAATATTTAACATTTCTTTTTAAATAATTTCCAAAATCTTCTAAAAAATTTCATCAAAACTCATTTTCCATCCTTCATCACTTTTCTTAACTTTCATATAAAGCCTTCCTTATTTTTTCTCTTCACCATTCTTAATTTTTAAAAAAGCTTCTTCCGCTTTCCCACTTTTTTCATCATCATCTTTTTCAAAAAGATATAAAGTAGCCCAAGAATCGACAATGTCTGGTCTTTCCAAAAGTGATTTTTATATCCATTTTCTAGCTTTTTCCATTTTCCTTTCTTTCCAAAATAGCTTAGCTACACTAATATTAACATATGGATCCTACCTGCATTTATCTAAAGCTTCCACAATTTTTTTTTTCCTAGTAGCTTTTGGTTCTAATTCAATTGCATATGACCATAACTGACTATAATCAGGGCATTCTTTAAGTCCTCTAGCAAGCATATATCTCGCTCCTTTTTTATTTTCTGCTTATGTTTCCAATTCTACTGCTATACACCATAATTCAGGACATTTAGGTAATTTTACCCTCGACTTTTCTAATATGGGTCTTGCTCTAGGAAAGAATCTGTGATTCATCTCTAATTCTACATATCTTATTATCAAAGTGGTTGATAAGGGGTTAAATCGTATTCCCTTTTCGAATATTTATCGAGCAGCGTCTATTGATTTAAATTTATAGGCTATTTTAGCTAATAAAATGAACAATTTTTCATCTGTAGGGAATAAACTTATTGCTACTTGGGCATCTTGGAAGCTTTTTTATAAAGAACCGAGCTAATATTCCAATTTAATAGCGGCTATATATGCCTCACATGTGCCTACATTTTTGGCTTTTTGGGCTACAAGTCTTGCTTATTCTAATTGATTATTTTATTTGTAATTTTTTAAAGATAGGATTAATATTTGGCTGTTTTCCGGTAAATTTTTTTCAGCCTCATCTATTATTTCTCTTATATTGAAATTTTTCCAGTGAAACTTAATTCTTTAAGTCCAAAAAAATTCATAAAAAGGATGCTATTATGTCGCTGATTGTAATTATTTATTCAAATTATCCTTACTTTTTCCAATATTTTTCTCAAAATCAATGGTTTTTTATATAATAGTTAAATTTTCGGGGAATAAAACATCTATACCATATTCATATATTGCCCTAGCAGTATTTATGCAAGTCCTCTAAATCATGCTTTGGGCTTCTTCAGTAAATACACGCTCTCTTTCAGATTATTCGATCCCGTCACCAATTACTGCTCTTATTATAGCCACACAGGTTAATGGATTACCACTTTTTTCACAATAAGCAGCTTCATCAAGCCAATCTTCTCGATTAATAATATATCCTCTAAAAATATATATATTTAAAACGTAAAGATTTAAATAATAATTTATATATAAATAAATATATATATATATAAATATATATATATATATAAATATATATATATATATATATTTATAATATACCTTCTTTTATATAAATCAATAGCTTTTTATAATAATTCAGTAATTTTACTTTATGGTTTTCCATCTGATTCTTCTAATTTAGCTGCATTTATCCATATTGAATGTTCCTAAGGTAGTGCTTTTCTTGCTCTATTTAAAACTGCTTTAGCGTTTTCATAAGTTTCTAATTTAGCCAAAGCTAGCCACATGTCGAGATCCCCTGGAATACATTCTACTGCTTTATAGAGTAGTATTTTGGCTTCTTTTTCATTTTCTAATTGTATTAGGTATTTCCATAATTTTGGCTAGTCAGGTATATGCTCTAGTGCTTTTCTTAAAACTTTGATTTTATTTTCCTTTAAAACTTCTCTATCGGCTGCCGCGAGCCATATCTTTAAACTTTTCGGTAAAATCTAAGCTGCTTAAGCCAATATACTTCTTGCTTTTTCCGGGGTTTCCAACCTTGCAATTTCAAGCCATAAATCATCTGATCTCTCGCATTATTTAAGTCCTTAATAAAGAATATTTCTTGCCTATTAAATTTTTCCGTCTAACTCTTCGATTCTTGCCGCCCCAATCCATCCGTTTGCATTTTTAGGGTCTACATTTACCACATTTTTCATTAATTTTCTCGCTCTTTTAAAATCTCCGATATCTGCTTCACTATTGACTATTTGTTAATTTAAAGAAGTCAAATAACCGGATTTATCAACTGTAGAAATACCACTTACAGAATCTATGCTTTTATCTAATTTTGCAGTTAAGACTGTTTAATTTGCTTTTCCAATATCGTTTAAGTTTAGGTTTAATTAGGATTGAATTTCTATTGAATTTTAGATTTATTGTTCTTTTCGAGCCGAATCAATTATATGGTCCGGAACTGGCACATATTTTTCCTATTTTTTTTTTTTAATGGAATAATCTTATGCTTCTGGAATTTTCATCCATTCATCTTCTGTGATTTTTCCTAAATCACGTTTTAAATCTGCAAATTAATAGGCTACGGATGGGTTATTTTCCATTATTTTTTTAGTCTCTATTTTTTCTTTTTTTTCTTTGCGTTTATGTCGACGTTAATTCATATAATCGTCAACAGATTTGAACACTTCATCGGCTTAACGATCCTCGTCGTCGTATTTTTCACCGTTGAATATATTTTCTTAATAACCACTCCATTAATCAAATTAAACATAATTTGCAGGACCTATGTCAGAACGAGTGATAAAACCCACTGCTCCTCTAGCTAGACCTGCTACATAATTTGGTGGAGGGGGACCGAATTCGGTTTTGGCGTATTGGTGGCTCATTTTTTTTATTTTGATTTTTTGTGTCTATTAAATTATTGGATTTTTTATATATATATATTAATTTTTTCTTTTGATTTTTGATTTTCTTTTTATTTCTTTATTTTTGTTTGTTTGTTTATTTTATTTTAAAAGAGGTATATTATTTTTTGATTTAACAATTTTTTTTTTTTTTTTTTTTTCTTAAAAAAACAAATTATAAAATATTTCACAAAAAATTAAAAATAAAAATTTATTAAATTATAAAAATAAAATCTATATAAAAATAAAAAATTAAATAGATTATTATTAAAATATATATTAATTAGAAATTAAAAAAATAAAAAATTAAATTAATTATTATAATTTAAAATTTAAAAAAACAATACTTTTTCAATGTTTAAATACATTTTTTATATTAAAAATATTGAGAATTTATAAAAAAAATATTAATTAATTTTAAATAAGTAATAGATATAACTTTTTAAAAATCCAAAATTAATCATTTAAATATTAAAATAAAAAAATATTGAAAAAAATCAATAAATTAGTAAAAATAATAATGTTAAATAAGTGTTTATATTAAAGATTTTTAAATATGCATATATAATATACTATTTAAAGAAAGAAATATACATACAATTTATAATAAATTTAATTTAAAAAAAAGGAGAAAAATTATAAATATTTATAAAAAATTAAAATAATAAAAGTAATAAAAATAAAACAAGAAAGTAATAATTTTCATAAAAATTTTAAATAAGTAGTAGAATTGATTTTTAAGTTTTTTTGTTTTGTTTTGCTTTGTTTTCATTATTATTAATTTTTTATAAAAATCATTGAAAACCTTCAATTCTAAATAAATAACTATAATAAAAATTAGTTAAAACAATTAACAAAATACTAAACACAATTAAATCATCAATAACTCCGAAAATTCCCAAAATACACTCAGGTAGAATGTCCAGAGGACTTATAATATATAAAAGTCCAATAATAAAATATTAAGATGAACAAATTTAAGATAGCATATATATAATCCCTTCTTGAGTTCTTAAGAAAGTTAATGTTTTTTTAATTAAAAAAGGTGCATCATATACTATATTAAAAATCTTTGTATATATTAAAAAATAAAAGTTATAATTTTCAATTTAAATAAATATATAGTATTATTTTACTGATCTATTTTTTTTGAATATGTTTTATTGTATAATTTTATTAATTATAAAGAGTTGCATATATATTCTTTTTCTTTTTTAATTATATTATCTTCTATATAAAATCTATTTATTTATCTTCTACATATTGGACATTTTAATTGTTAATATTTTTTATTTTCCAATAACTCATAATACAATTTCCTTTTTAATTATGAATAAATGTTTTTTATGCTTTTTATTTTTTTTAAAAAAAATACCACAATAAGTATGTTCACATGTCGATGATACTTTTTCAGAAAATTATTATAAGCAAATGGAACATAGGCCTTAACAAAATTTGGAAAAATTAGGCATTTCATCTTTAGTATATTAAGGAAAATATTTTATTATAGGTTGAAGTAAATTATAAAAACAATTAATTGCAAACTTATATAAATCAAAAGATATTAAAATAAATGAAACGGATATTATCATTAATTTTTTGATGCTATCGTTTTCAATACCTTGCATTTTAAATTTTTCTTATTTTTATATATAATAATTAAATAATAATGTTATTTTAATGAAAAAAAAAAAAAATATTTTATATAATTGATCTTTTTTTTCTATTATTAATTTTTTTGAAAATTATTAATGTCTTTGTTTTTTGTTTTTTTTTTAAAAAAAATAAAAAATAATTAAAAATACATCATTTTAATTAAAAATATATTTATTATTTAGAATATATTTTTAAAATATAATTATTTATATTTCTTAATTATACAAATTTTTAATTTATTTTATTTTAAATAAAAAAATATTAATTTTTTAATTAATAAATACGCATATAGTTATAGTTTAAAGTGAAGAAAATAAATATTTATATTAAAATATTTGATTTACTATAACTAGATTCAAAGATTGTATATTTGTATATTATAAAAATAAGATTAAATATTTTATTTTTTTGTATATAATTTATTAATTAGTATTTTAGTAAATTAGTTAAAAAATATTAATTTTTTTTAATATTAATATAATATTATTTTTTATATTAATTTTATTTAACAAAAAAATCGATATATAATAATTGATCAAATACATTAATTTCATACTTATATTCACTTCTTTATAAAATAGTTAAATCATAATTTAATTATTAATTAATTTAAATAAATATTTTAATAAGTAATACTCACTCTTTATGAAAAAAAGTATTTATCAAACTAAAAAAAGATTAAAAGCATAATAATAATGTTTTATGAGCTTATTTAGTTATAATAATAACAGTAAATAATAATAATATCTATTTTTTATATTTTATAAATAAATAACTATTATTAAAATAAATTATAGATTATATAATTAATTTTATATGTATTTTAATTAGTTGATTATTTTATACTAAATAATAATATTTTATTTTAATTATAATTTATATAATATTTTCAAAAAAGTAATTAGAATGGTTTTTTTTTTCAAACTAATAAATTCTATTTCAAACTATTTTTTATTTATAACAATTTATGTTTATTATTGCTTATTTAGCATTTTATATGATTCTAATTAAAAATAATAAAATTTTGATATGATAGATTAAAAAATATCAAAAGAAAATAATAAATTAATAAAAAGAAAACTAGAAAAGCCGGAATAGTAATTATTAAAGAAAAAATGATCCATAATTAAATAGATAAAATATAAACAAATGAGGATATTAAAAAAACAAAAGATAATCAAGAATATTTTTTTATGGAAATCTAATAAGATTAACTTAAAGATAAAAATTAAAAAAATGCTGATTTTTATCTTGGAAAAATAAGATCAAATTAAGATTAGTAATAGTCATTTACAATAGATGAATTATTATAAAGGTAATTCATTAGAAAGATAAAATATATTTATAATAAAAAAATTAAATTTAATTTAAAAATAAAAAAATAGAAAAGGTAATTATTAAATTTTAGAATCGGATCACTCTTATATTTAATGGATTTTTCCTAATTGTTTTAAATCTTAATTTAATAGTAATTCATATACATTAACTGAAGATGATATATAGGAGTTTTTAATGAATAAAATAGTAAAAATATAAATAAAAATATTTAATAAATAATATATAGATTGCAGAAAAATATGTTTAAAGTTATGAAATGATGCTAGATTTTTATGGAATAAAACTAAAAATAAAAAAACTGGAGAATTATAAAGGTTTATTTTTAAATATTAAATTAAATAAAATTTATAATGAAAAATATTTAATATAATAATGTCTTTTTATTTTTATTTTTAAAAGGACTGAAAATTATAAATAAAGATATAAATAAGCTATTTAAGGTCATAATTATTTAAGAATTAGAAGAATTTTAACTTCTTTGAATAATTTAGGATTTAGAAGATATGCTATTAAATTAGTTGAATTTTTAAAAGGAGAGGCTGAGCAAGGATTATTAAATAAATAGAATTTTCATTAGAATTGGGAATTTTATGGTATAACAAAATATGAAATAGAAGGAGATGATAAAACTGATCCTAATAATGACCCTTAAATTAAGATGCTCGTTAGCAATTGTTTTATGAGTTATAATCAAATTAAAAGGGAAAATATATATTTCTAATCAAAATGAAAAAATTTTAAAGATTTTTAAAAATATAAATAAATTAATTTATAAAAAAAAAAATTAAAAATTATGTTTTATTTTAATAAAATAAAAAAATGATGAATATAAAAAAGCATGTTATAATATTTTATATAAAAATATTATTTTTATTTATTTGAAAAAAAATATGCTATATATTAAATCTATATTTCATTATTAATATTTAATAATTTAATATTCTTATATTAAAAATTAGTTATCAAATTAAAATTTATTTTCAAAACCATTAAATTTCTTTAAATTTTAAAATTAAGGATAATATATATCAAATTTTTTCGCTAAATCTAAAATAATTATACTTAATTAAATTATTAATTTTTATTCAATTTATAATACTGATAATACTTATTAAATCTAATAATATAGAATATATATATATATATATATATATATATATATATTATTATATATATATATATTAATATTTAAATATATTCATCATATACATTTTCTTCAGCTGAAAAATTTAAGTTAATTTACTATATAATTTTGAAAATAATATAAAGTACAGATGCAGCAATAGTACTATAGGAAGCCATTTTTATATTTTCATAATCATATAGTATCATTTTTGATAAATAGCTGCATATTTTGTGTACATATTAGAATTCTTAATTACTTAACCTATCTTAATAATTTAGAAATGTTAAAGTTTACATACTAATTTCATAAGGTGAAGTTCCAAACAAATTGAAATTTAATGTTATTAAAATATCAGCTTCCATATTTTTTATTTACTATTCTGAAATTTTTTTATGTGAAATTTTTTCATCTATAACTTTTAAAGTAATTGGATATATTTCTTCATATTTACTTGCTATAAAAAAGCAAGTAACTCCAACTAAATGTATATCAGATATTTCTTTAATTCTTTAAATAACGAAAATATTTTAATTTAAAATATATTTATTAAAAGTTGAAAATTATATATGTTTTACTTTTTTGTTTTTTCTAAATATAAATCTAAAAGTCTAACAGTCATAAAATATGTTTCTTCAGAAAATTTATATGCTTTTACGACTTCAATTAACCAATCAAGCATTTTAGCTCTCAATAGTTGTGGTATATTATGCTTAAAAAGGCAATTTTTAGGTACATATTTAGACTAAAGAAAATAAAAAAATTTATAAATATTAATATATAAAAATCAAATATTTAATAGTATATATTTGAATAATGATATATAAATAAATATATAATATAACTTCTTATTGTTTCTCAAAAGTTATGATATCTTATAAATAGTTTTTATTTATCTAAATTCTAGCCAAAAGCAATGATAAACTTTCTTCTTTATATGAATTTTGAATTTTCTTATTATCCGAAACATTTTTATTCAAATTAGACTAATATAAATTAATTTATTATTATTAATTTATAATGTAATTTAAGTCTTTAAATAATAAATTATTATTTGAATGTATATTAGGAGCAATTAAATTATTACTTGTATATATATGAGCAATTAAGTCATTATTATTATTATTATTATTATTATTATTATTTATTATTTAGTTTATATTTATTATAGGATTACTATTATTTAAAAAATTTATGTTCGAACTCACTTATTACACTTACTAAGAGTTTATTTTGAATTTTTTCTCTATTTCATTATTTTCTTTCTCAAATATAAAATTTTCTTTATTTTATAGATTTATATTACTATTTTCTTTTTTTGTCATGTATTATTTTATATGATAATAATTAATTATCATCATGAATTAATAATGCTTGATTTTAATAACTCTTACATTCATTCTAAAGTTAAATACGATTTTATACTGTCTATGAAAGAATATTTGCATTAGATTAATTGTTTTCACTTTTTTATTAGAATTCTAATTGTTTATATTATTGTTACTAATAAGGAATGGAAGAGTCTTTTAATATTTTTTAAATAGGAATTCTGTATGTATTGCTTGTAGAAATAGATGTTACTTTATTTTTAATCTTTTGCAAATTTTCTAAAGGCTCAATTTCCATTTTATTAATAAAAATATTGTTTTATTTATTATTACTATTTTTGGATACATAGCTGTTCTTCTTGTTTAATTAATTATTCATTTTTTTATTTTATTAATTGCTATTCTTAATATTATGTTTTAATTAGTTTTAATTAATAAATTATTTATTAAAAATGCATTTATATATTATTTTTTACATATTAGTTAATTAAAAATTTTTAAATGATAATTATAACGTTATTAAAAATATGTTTTAAATTACATTTAAATTTCTATAAAAATATTAATTTAAAAGTGTTTTTTTTTTATAAATATTATATTTTTTAATTAATTATTTTAAATACTATTTTTATTAAAAAAAAAATCATTTTTTATATTATTATTATAATCAAAAAATAAATTTTTATTATTAAAAAAAAAAAAAAATATTAGTTTTTTATATAATTATTTTAGTTATTTTTTTTTTTTCGAGACTATCATTTAAATATAAATAACAATTAATTTTTTCAGTTTTATGTTGTTAGTATTAATGCTTTTTGATAATTTGATTTATCTAACATTATTATTATTATAAATAACAATAATTATACTTATTAATTATCACATTTTTAATATTTCATTTAAATAACTATTTTAAATTAAAGTTTTATTTAATTTTTAAAGGTATTTAAAAAATATATAGTGTTAAGGATAATCCTATAATATCACTAAATTATTGTCTACATATTGTATTTAAAATATATTATTTTTATTATTTAATTCTTTTTTTAAAAGATTATTTTTAAATATTATATTTAATATTAATTATTTTTCAATTTTATAAAGATTTAAAATATTATTTTTTAATTTTTGCTACTTTAATCATAATTTTAAAGTTGATTTTCGCAAAAAATCTAATAATATATTACTCTATAAATTTTTTTCTTTGTATTTTTAATATATTACTTAATGTAATTTATTTATACAAGAAATTATAAGTAAATAAAAAATTAAGACCTATTTTTTTATATAAAACTGAAATTTATTGTTTTTTTATTTCTTTATCAACTAAATGAATTATTCAAATACATCTAAAACAAATTATTAATTATAAATAATATTCATCAATTTTTTAAAAATTTATTATAATTTTAAAATATTAATTATTAATTACAAGAAAATAATAATTATTAAACTTTAGCATTTAATTTATTAATTTATTTAATATATATTTTATTTATACATTATACAAAATTGAAATATATTATCGCTTAAAGTATTTTGTAAGAACTATAGTGTAATTAAAACATATTTTTAAGACATATATAATAATATTTAGCATTTAAAATAATATTATTTTATTATTAATAATTTTTATTAGCAATTAATACATTTTAAATCAATTTAATTTAAAATTTATTTCTTTATAAATTATAATATTGTTTTTTTTAAAAAAATATATTTTATTCAATTTTTATACTATCTTTAATTTTTCATGTTCTTATGCGTAAATTTACTTTCCTATTTTTAAATTATATAGTTTAAATAATTCTAAAGAAAAAAAAATTATAAAATTTATAAAATTTAAACATTTTTAAACATATATAATTAAATGTTTATATTATTTTATCCTATAGTTATATAAATATTCATTCATAACAATTATATTTTCTATGACTATTGTATTATAATTTTTTATATTAAGTATTGTTTTAATTATTTTTATATATTAAAATTTTTATGTTTATTTATTATTAATATTTTCTTATTTTTAATTTTCAAAATATTTTATTTTAAAAAAGATTCAAAAAAATTATCTTTTAAAATAAAATAATAACAATATTAAATAAAATAAAAAAAATTAATTATATTATAATATAAATTAATATTATAATAATTTTTATTTATATTCATCTTCATTTTTAATTATTTAACTATTTTAGTTTTTTTTTTATCAGGATATTTAGTTTTTGTATATAGTATAAATACAAATATTATATTTTACAATTTAACATAAAAAAATATTAATAATTCCTTCAGCTTCTTTATTCCAAATTACTAAAACTATTAATCTTCAAAATAAAACTAAAATAATTAAGTAAAACTTTAAATTTAAAAACAAGTAAACTTATGAAAATTATTTAAAAAATAATTGACTTTCATTAAAAGGTAATAATAATTTCATTTTATAAAAAAAAAAAATTATGGAACTTAAAATAAAATATTAAAAATAAGTAAACTATATTTTATTTATTATTTTGTATCTGAATTTTATTTATTTAATTATTATTATATTAATTATAGTAAAATTAAATTATTATCTAAATATTATATATAAGAAATTTATAATATATTCAATATTGTTATCATTTTTTATTATTAATTTAAATATAATTCAAAATTATATTTTATTTTAATATTAATTTTCAATAATCTAATGTTATATATTTTGTAAATAAAAACTTTATGAATAATTTTTTATTAACTGTTATAAAAGAATGCATAAATAAGTTTTATTTATTTTATAGATTTTATAATATTTCCTTATATTTTAGGTATATAATAAATATTTATTTATTAATATTTATTATATTAAATATTAAATATTATATCTTTTTTTTATTATATATATAATTTTTTTCTTTTTTATATTTAATCTTAATAATGTATATAAATTTAAAATAATATTTATAATAATTACAATATTTTTAATATTTTTTTTTTTGATTTTCATTATTTAAGTCAAAACAAATAATCTTTTATAATTTATTTACTAAATTTTTAAAAAAGTTTAAGATAAATTTTATGATAATTTAGTCATTTTTTATAAAAAAATATTATTTTATATGTAAATTTTCATATATTTCTAAAATAATTTTAATTAAACAATTATAATATTTGCTTTTTATACTCTATTTAAAATTTAATTCCTAATTTTAGTTTAATGATTTAGAGTTATAAATTACAATTATTTTTGATTATTATGATTTTTAATATTTATTTATTTTATAAATAATTAACCTTATTAATAATAATTAAAATATCTTAAAAATTACACATTTAACATCAGATTTTATATAAATTATTATTATTACAATTCTACACCAGTTATATCCTATATATCATTTAAATCTTTAATTATTATAATATATAAAAACTAATAAAAAATTATATTATTATGATTTATTTTTGTTATTATGATACTAATCAATTTTAAGATAAGTATAATTGCGAATAATTTAAATAATTTTGATAAAAAATATAAAAAAAATACATTTAATTATAATTATTATTATATATAGCTTTATTAATAATTAAAAAGATTTAAATTACTAAAATTATAAAAAATCAAATTAATATATATTTTTTTCTAAATAAAATAATACAAAGTTTTATAAACAATTATTTTATTTTTTATATCATAATAATGAATTACAAAATAAAAATATTTTTTATTATTAAACTATTAAGATGAAATCCCCCTTTAATTCATTAAGGTGAAAAAGAGGAAATATTAACTCAGATTTAATCCGAATAGGATAAAAGATTCAAGATTAGGATCGAGCCTCCAAGGGCGAGGTTTATGCAGTTCCCACACCCTAGCGAAATCGAGCCAAATAAACTACAAAGTCGATCCGTATTAACTACATGCGGCGATCCCAAATGAATAAATTCCTATATGCAATTGCTTAGGTTTTATAAAATAAATTAAATATATTTAAAGATTTTATAAATAGAAAAATAATGTTTTTTATAATTAATTAATTTAGTCTATTATAAATATTAATTAATTCATTCTTAATATATAATAAAAATAATAATAATAAATATTTTATTTAAATAAAAATAATTTATAATTAATATATATTATAATCTATATTATTTTACATAATATAATTATAATTTGTTATTTATATTTAATAAAAAAAAATATATATTAAAAGAATGATAAAATAATTATTTTATCTATAATTAATTGTTATTAATAAAATTTGGTAATATATAAAATAATAAACTTTATTCTTCTTAAGAACAAATTTTATATATACGTTTTTTTATATGTAGTTAGTTTATATTAAATATATATTTATATTAAAATTATAATTTTATAAATTTAATAGGAAGAAATATAATTTTTTAAGTATTATAAATATATATTTTAAAATATAATTATTATAATAATGGACACTGAAAGAATTATTTATTAAGTTTATGAATAAAAGTATTTAAAAAGTGCTATTGAATGTATTTTAGATGCAAAACATCCTAATGGATCATTAGAACATGATTTTAAATTTACATAAGAATAAATTTAAAAATCAACCATAAACTTACTTTCAGATAAAAATATATATAGAAACACTATAATAGCTTTAGATAAAACAAAGGAAAATCACGTAATAGGGATTGTTATTGGACAAGATTTTACTATTTATTGGCCTTAAAGATAAATTCCTTAATAAAATTAAAATATTGATATGTTATTTAAGGTAATTAGGAAACTTTTAAATCCTTTTTCAAAATAAAATTATAGTTTTGGAGAATTTTCGATTTCATCTTCTTTATGTGTTAGAAGAGAATATTAAAAAAATAATATTGGTACTATGATTTTAGATTATTAGAGAAAACATATTTTTGATTTAGGCTATAAATTAACAACCGGAATTGTTTATAATAAAATATCTCTTAAGATTTTTAAAAATTTAGGTTATAAAATCTTAAATTAACTTAATATTGAGGAGGTTTATTAGTTAGATTAAAATTTATAATAATATCATAAATAAGATATTTATTTCATGGGTTGCTTTAATCCTTATAAATAAGATAATTTTGAGTATTTAAGTTAACAAAATTTTGTTTCAAACTTATGAATAAAAAAAAAAAAAAAAATTGTATTTGTTTTATCATTATTACTATTATAATTATTTTAATAATAATTTCATTATTTTTATTAATTTAATAGTTTAAATTAATATTATTTTATGTATAAAATATTATTATAATTATATATATATATATATAAGATAAATTTAAAATCATTTTATTAAATATAAAAAACTATAAAATTTAAATTTTTAAATATTTATAAAAAATAAATTATATATTAATGCATATTTATATTATTTGTATTTTTTTCTTCTATTTAGAAAATAAAGTTTTTATATTATAAATAAAGAATATTTGTTTATTTTTTATATATTTAAAATAAAAAAAATTAATTAAAATAAAATATATATAAAATTAAATTGTTTTAAAAAATCAATAAAAATTATCAATTTTAATATAAGAAAAAATAATTTAATATAAATAAAATTTAATAAACATTAATATCAAAAATATAATTCTTTGAATTTTTTTTCATCTTTTTTAATATAAAATAAATAAAAAAATAAAAATATTATAGGAATTCAAAAAAAAAAAAATATACTTTAAATTCTTTTTTAAATCTCTTTTTCTACATATTATTAAAATGGTTTTGAAACTTTTTTCGGTTTACTCATTTTATAGGTCCATTCCCTTTATCTTCTAAATAAATTATTATCGTATGTAATTATTTGATCTGGATATTAAAATTAATTTGTAGTTCTTAACATATTTTTAAATTTTAAATTATTATTTTCTCCACTACTCATTAATCCTCCTGAGTTAATTAATATATATTTATCTCTACCCGAACCATCTGATATATAATGAATTGTCTTTTAATTTGAACATGGTTTAAAAACTCTAGGACCATCAGATTATCTTAAATATCTTCCTATAAATAATTTATTTTTAGAATTAATTTAATATAATAAACCTGTTGTAGGATATCCTGTTTATGGACGCGATTTAACTATTCCACCACTATCAGTAAGTATATAACCGTCTCTTCCTTTAATTTATATTTAATTATTAAATAATATAAATTTTTATTTTCTATTATATTTATTAGATTATACCTGTGCCGTCAGATTAATAAAACTATGATTTGGGGTTTATTTATACACACCTAGACATTTTTATAGTGGTTTTATTTTTATGTGTACTATTAAATTTTTATTTTATTTAATTTAAACTATATTAAAAATAAATTTTTTATATTGTTTATTTTAATTTTTCATATAAAAAAATGAAAATATTTTCATTTAAAGGATAAATATATATATATATGTATATATATTTATATATATATATATATATATATATTATATATATATATATAATTATATAAAACAATCTATAAATATTAATATTTATATTTTTTATTATTTTTCATAAAAAGAAATGTGTTAAAATTTAAAATTATAAGTTAGAATATTATTGAGTTCAATAAAATAAATAATAAATAAAATTCCAAAAGATAAGCAAGACAAAAATGCTTTATAACTTCAATAATTAATAAAAAAATATGATCCTGAAAATACCAATGATTTATTAAAACTTTAAAAAGATTTATAATATAAAATTAATTTCTTTAAACTAGCTTATCCATAAATTACACCAGATGAATCTCTATAAAAATCTGACGAATAAGATTTACCATAATTAAATAAAATCAATGAAAGAAATAATTAAATTAATTAATAAAAATAATAATAATAAGAATAATTTGAAAAATCAGGTTTTTTTTTTAGTGAAAAAAAAATTTTTCAATAATAAAAAAATAAAATATAAAAAGGAAAATATATAATGAAAGATGGAGAAATGATAAAAGGAGAAAGTGATAAAAGAGAAACTGTAGATTGGTCTAATTGGTTTGCTGGAAATGTAGATCCTGAGGATTTGAAAAAACATAAAGAACTTTTAGATAGAATGCATTTTGGCGGACCGATTTGGGAAGGAAAAGGAAAACCAAAAAGTATTATAGATGATGAAAATCCAGTATATGCGGAAGGTGTAAAAGAAGAAAATCCTAGTTTTAAAAATCCGAAAAAAATAGAATATGAGAATGTTAAAAGGTGATTATTATTTATTGAAAATATTTTAAAAATAATATATTTATATAATATATAACTAAAAAAATGACTAAATTAATTACTTAAAAAAAATCAATATATATAAAAAAAAGCTTTATTAAAATTCATAAATTAAAAATATTAAGTAAAAAATGTAGTTTTACAAAAATAATATGAAAAAAATAGTTAATATAAAAATTTAGATAAAATATGGTATTATAATATATATTGATTATCTGAACTTTTTAGTATTTTATAAAAAATAAAAGTGTTAATAGAAATAATAATATACTATTTATTAAATTAAAAAAATGTTTAATTGGTTTATTTTTATTGGGTAAAATAATACAATGAAAAGATATAATGGTATAAAATAAATTATAATAAAGAAATAAAAATTTTATTATATTTATAAAATAAAAAAAGAAAAAGAGAAAACAAAATATAATAATTTTTAAATAAAAAAAATAAAAAAAATAATAAAATATAAAATTTATAAAATAATAAGATAAATATATAAAGAATAAATTTGATAATTAAAAAAAATTTAAAAATAAAATATTTATATATTTTATATATTTATATATTTTAAATATTTATTTATATATTTATATATTTTTATATTTATATTTATATTTTATTTATATTTTATTTATATTTTATTTAAATTATAAAAAATATTAATTACATAATTTTAAATAATTTTTCATTTTAATTTTAAATATTTTTTATATATTATGATAACATTAAATTTTATTTTCTTTAAATAAATATTTTTTTTTTCTAAATTTTATTAATATTTTATATATATTTTATTTATATGTTTATCTTTTTTACATTTTTTTTTTTTGATATACATGATTTATTCATTATATAATTTATATATATATAAAATATTAATTAAATTAAATAATTATTAAAAAAGATAAAAAAGAGATTAAAAAGATTTACTTATCTAAATCTTTTTTAAATAAATTTATTGAATTTTTATAAATATTATTTTATTTTAAATAAATATTTATATTAAAATATTAAAAAAAAAAAAATATAAAATATTTTTTTTTTTAAATAAAAAAAAAATTACTTATTGATATTGTAAAAATATATAATAAATATAATATTTTTAATTACATAATAATTAATATTTTAATAAATATATATATATATATATAATAATATTTTTTATTTTTTTTCAAAATAATTATGTATTTATAGAGTTAGAATTATTAGTAAAATTCTCGAAATTTAAATTAAATAAATTTAATGATTTTTATGATGATTATTTTTAATCTGGCTTTTATTTTTTTTATAATTTTTCTTAAAGATTTTTCATTTTTTCTTAGATTTTTTTTTTTTAAGAACCTTCTTCATATTAAAATGCTAATTCTTATTTTTTTTAAGAAATGCAATTATTTTATTAAATATTTTCTTTGAAAAATATTTTTTCTTAAATATTCTATATTTCTATTTTTAACTAAATAAATATTAAAGAAAATAAAAAAACAATTTAAAAATTATTTTATTAAATTAAAATAAATAAAACTTTTCAAAATTACCTCATTATTTTAAAATTAAAGATTTTAAATATTATTTAATAAAAGTTTAAATTTTTCTTATTTTTAAAAAATCTTTTATAATAAATAACCTTCTTTTGTTTTCTATTCATCATTTTTTTCGTTATTAAATATATCTTTTTATATTTAAACCCAACTTTAAACTAAATTAGGTATTTTTTTATATTTTCCATTAAAAAAACCTTAAAAAATATCGAAAATAGACTAAAAGTCAACAACATTTTTTTTTTTTTATTCATAAAGGTCATTATATTATTTTTATAATTCCTAATATTAATTAAATATTTATTATTTTTCCTCTAAAAGAATGTTATTATCATTTTAAAGATTAAAAATTTTATTCTAATTAACATTTTATAATAAAAAATCTTATATTTTCTCCAAAGTATTCTCTATTTTTTAATATTTATCCTCCGAAATTTCATTATTATCTATCTATTAAAAAATCTAATCATCAGGTTAACCTATAGAAGAAATTTAATATAAAAAAGTACAATTTTAATAATTTTATTGTAATTTCTTTTCCAAAAAAATTTATTTTTTCATATTATTAAATAAAAAAATTCATGTTTTCAATTTCTTTTTAAAAGAAATTCATATTTGCATCATATTTAATTTATAATGTATGATATTATGCAGCTTCTTTTTCACAATTTTAAAATAAGCTTTTATATTCGAAAATTTGTTTTTCTAAAGATGTTATTTTTTATATATGTCTTTAATTATTTTCATAAATTTAATTTTCTTTTTCTTATATTAATATATTTTTTTCCTTTAAATATATAAATAGTATAAAATTAAAAAAAAAAATATATATATAAATATAATAATAAAAATATATATATATATAAATATATATATATATATATATATATATATATATATTTATTTATTTATATATTTTTTACTTAAATTTAATTATTTTTTGTTTCTAATTATTTCGTAAATTTCTCTACTATATTTATTTTTTCATTTTCATTTTTAGATATTGATTTTTCTAATATAGATTATTTTTATATTAAATCTTCATTTTATTTATTTAATTATTAAAATTCATATTATCTAGTATTGGCCGTTTATAACATATTGTTTAATTATTATTCTTTTTCTTTTAAATATTTCTCTTTTTCGTCAAAAAGTAAGTCCATAGAGTTCAATTTAGTTTAAAGATTTGAAATTTCTTTTATTTTTTTTTAAAGATCTTCTATCAAATTTTCTTGATTTTCTATTTAGTATTATTTTTAGTTTATATTATTTTCTAAAAGTTTGTTTTAATCCATTAATGAATGTATTTTTTACTCATAAGAGTATAATTCACTTAGTTTAATTTAAATAAGTTTTTCTTGAGGATATTAATGTTCTTCTTCTTATTTTTTTGATTTGTTCTTATTGTTATTGTTTATTGGAGATTATTAACTTTTTTGTTAAAATTATTATTATATTTTTTATATTTATAAATTTTGGGTAGGTTATATTAATTATGTTGGTTATTATATTATAGCTTAATTAGGTTAGTAATTAGAAAGATCTTCATTAAATTACTATTATTATTGAAGTTATATTAAAGGAATTTATTATTTATTTAAAAATTATTGTTCATTTATATACAATTATTAATTTTCTATTTTTTATTATTATTATTATTATTATTCATTAATGTATAATTATTATTCATTAATATACTGTTTCTCATTTATATATTATTAGTCATATATATATTATTAATTATTTATAAATTATTTTTATTTCTATTATTATTATTATTCGTTTAATTTTTATTATTATTAATCTTTATTTATATATTAATTTTATTAATCTATAATATATTATTATTATTATTTATTTTTAAATTAATCTTATTCATTTGCAATTTAATTGCTATTATTAAATTAATCATTCATTTATTATTTTTAATTAACTAATTATTATTAGTCGTCAATTTATATTTTTTATCCAATTATTTTATTATTAAAATTCTATTATATATTATTTATTTGCTAATTTTCTTATAGTTATTATTATTATATAATATATTGTTATTGTTCTTATATTTATTATTATTATATTAAATCTTATTAATCATTTATTACAAAAGAATAATTTTATTAAAATTATGGTAGTTATATACTATTATTTTTTTAAATATATTCTTCATTATTTTCGAAATCTTATTATTATTAATTATTATTTTAAAAATTTTCATTATAATAATTAGTAATAGCTTAATCATTATTTTTTTCTTAGTTTTCATCATATTCTTAATCCTAAATTATAAGATTTTCTTCATTTTTTTATGAATTTTAACTTTGTTCTTCCAATTAATATTCTTCTTCTTAAATTTGATGAATTAAATATGTATTATTATTTTCTTGAAAATTGTACTTTTTTTATTCAATATTATTATTTTTGATACTTTAAATATAATCAAGTAAGGAATTGTTTTAATTTTTTAAATTAATTTTTTCTTATTAATTTAAATTTAAATTTTCGATAGCTTTTTAAACTTAAAATTATAATTATTTTTCTAATTCAATAATTTTAGATTCGTAAGTTTTTACTTAATTTTCAAAGAAAATTATTTTTTCATTATTTCTTTAAATTAAATTCTTTAAATGCTAATTTTCAACATAAAAATCTATATTAATGCTTTTGTTTTTTTATAAAAACATACCATAGCCGCATTCTAATAGTTTTTTTTCTAGTTCCTATTTTAAAATATTAATATAAATTCTTTATTCTTCTGAATTTAAAATTTCTTTTCTTAAACATTCCTATTTTGTTAATAAATATAAATAAAAATATAAATATAAATATAAATATAATATAAATATAAATATAAATATAAATATAAATATATATATATATATATTTATAATTTTTATTAAATTTATATTTTTTATATTTAAATTTTATAATTTTATATATAAATTTACTTCTTATTATTAAATTTATTTTCTTAATTTTTTATTTATTTCAACTAAATTTTACATATCTAAATAATCCTCTATTTTTGAAGAGCTAGTATTTTAGTATGTTTTTTATTTTTATTATATGTTATTTTATTGTTTTTATATTTTTCTGTCATTTAGAGATTTACTACTTGATGATTATTCTGTATTATTTTATGTTTTTTCTACTTTTATTATTTATTCTTATTTTTAATTTGGTTTTTGATTTTGTGTTATTTATATAAGATGTTTTTTTATTTAAGATGATTATTATTTATCTGAAAATTCTTTTTTTTAAGAATATAATTGTGTTTAAGGTGTGTATATTTAATATTTTTTAGGTGTTTGGTTTATATTTCTTTCTGAATTCGTTTCACTTGGAGGCATTTCAAAACCTTCGATTTCATATATCTATTTTTTTATAAATATTTATAAATGTATTATTTTTAACATCATTATGAAAAGATCTGTGTTTATCTAATGGA